TGCATCAGGCCACGCACACGTGGTGGCAGACCCCTTCACCCTATCATAGGCATCCCCACATTGCTCTGCAGCCCAGGATAACTGCAGCCAGCTGCACTCCACTTCTCAGCTGTGGCAGGCACTGGCTCCCCTGACACAGCTTATGCACGAACTCAGCCATGAAATGGGTGCAGATGGCAGGGGCGGGTGCCAGGTGGCAGGGCAGGATGGGACAGCATGGGTTTACGAAGGGGAAATTGTGCTTAACCAGCCTGATAGCCTAGTAGGATAAGATGACTGGCTTGGTGGATGAGGGGGGAGCAGCAGATGTTGTTTACCTCAACTTTAGTAATGCTTTTCATACTGTCTCCTGTAACATCCTCATAGGCAAGCTGATAAGCTATGGATTAGGTAAGCGAACAGCGAGGTGGACTGAAAACTTGCTGAATGGCCAGGTCCAGAGGGTTGTCACCAGTGGTACAAAGTCCAGATGGAGGCCAGTCACTAGTGGTGTACCCCAGGTGTCAATACTGGGGCCAATATTGTTCAACATCTTCATTAATAACTTGGATGATGGGGCAGAGTGCACCGTCAGCAAGTTTGCAGATGACTCAAAACTGGGAGGAGTGGCTGATACACCAGACGGGTGTGCTGCCATCCAGAGAGGAGAAATAAGCTGGAATCTCATGAAGTTCAACCAAGGGAATGCAAAGTCCTGCACCTAGGGAAGAATAACCCCATAGCACCAGTATATGCTGTGTGTTGTCTGGCCAGAAAGTAGCTCTGCCAAGACGGACCTGGGGGTTCTGGTTGACACCAAGGTCACCGTACGCAAGCAGTGTGCCCTTGTGGCAAAGAAAGCCAACAGTATCCTGGGCTGTGTTAGGGGTGTTGCCAGAAGGGATGTGATCCTTCGTCTCTACTCAGTACTGGTGTGGCAGGTGCACCTGCCCTGATAAAGACTGGGGGCATTAAGACTGCTGTGTCCTTACTTTTCACACCCTTACTTTCACGCCTTTGCGGTGGTGAGGGCTGACCATCACAGACACACTTTGGGCCAGTAATGATGGTCACATATACACCTCGGGCAAGGAGTAAGAAAGTTAAGGCCCTCAGCCAATTAGAATTGACCACAGATCAGGGTATAAATGGAGCCACACTGGAAGGCGAGTTGAGTCAGTCCTCTTCAGAGCAGTGGGTCTGCAGTTGGGGACCCTCCTCTTGGGTTGGGACGCTGCCCAAGGAAACTCCTCAAGGTTGAGAGCCCTCATCTTATAGGTGAGTGACTGTGCACATTTTGGATCCTCATTTCTAAAGCCAGCTATGCAGTATTCCTTGTACACCATCCTGTACCTGTGGTTTACTGATGTTGTCAGAGCGTTGAACGATTTTGGTGAGCCTCATTTCTAGTTAAACCAACAATTTTGGTTTAAATAAAGTTTATTTTTTAATCTATCTCCTGCCTAATTTGATTTTGTGAGCCTCCACGACAACTGGTGAGACCACATCTGGAGTGCTGTGTGCAGTTCCGGGCTCCCCGGTACAAAAAAGACATGGACATACCGGAGAGAGTCCCCCAAAGGGCCATTCTGATGATTAAGTGACTGGAGCATCCCTCATGAGGGAGAGGCTGTGAGAGCTGGGACTGTTTAGCCTACAGAAGAGAAGGCTCAGGGGGGATCTCATCAATGTATATCAATATCTGATGGGAGAGAATTAAGAGGGAACCAGATTCTTCTCAGTGCTGTCCAGTGACAGGACAAGAGTCAATGGGCACAAATTAAAAAACATGAAATGCCACCTGAAAACAAGAAAACTCTTTTGTCACTGTGAGGGTGACTGAGCACTGGAACAGTTGCCCAGAGAAGTTGTGGAGTCTCCATCCTTGGAGATACTCGAAATCCGACTGGTCATGGTCCTGGGCAACCTGCTGTAGCTGACCCTGCTTGAGCAGGGGATTGGACCAGACAACCTCCAGAGGTCCCTTCCAACCTCAACCACCTTGTGATTCTGTGACAGTTCCTCACAGCACACTTGGCCAGCACTTCCTTCCTGCACAAGCTGAGCCAGCCACTCCCTGACTCCTGGTGTCTCACATGCCCATGCAGCATCCTCCACCACACAGACCATCTCTGCCATCCCTTGGCACCCAGCCTACAGCCTAAGCATGCAGATGGAAAGAAGCAGACATGGCCTGTGGAAAATAATGTCAGGAACAGGATCGGAGAGAGCCCGTCAGGAGACTCCAGCTGGCATGTGAGGGGTGGTACTGGGCTGCAGAGGGATATCCCAGATCCATCTGCCACCTGGAAGCTGTGGGATGTCAGCCCAGAACCTCCCCCAGCCCAGGAACACCAAGGCCTTCTGCTGGGGGCAATCCCCTGCTCTATCTCCTCACGCTGGGATGGCAGGGCCTTGGTCTGGGACCAGGTCTCCCCACGCTAGGAAGCAACAGTGACTCTGACCATTCTCCTGGAAGGAGGCAGACTCTCTCCTGCACTTCAGCCCCCTTTCTGTGCCCCCTGCCAATAGCCCCTCCATGTCTACACCTCCCTGGTGCAATCCTGCATCCCTGCTGCTCAGGCAGCCATTGTCCACATGCTCTGGTCCTGCACGCCAGGCTATGGCTGCATGTGCTCCTGACACATTGGTCCCTCTCCTGGGGACACCCTAAGCTTCACACTTATCTCCCAGGGCCTGGCCCCATGGGGACAGAGACCTTTGCTTGCTTCTAGCTCTCCCTATCGTCACTGGGTTGTTGCAGTGCTCTGTATAACCAGCACGCCAAGACAACACATATGAGCTCTCCAAACACCCAGAGCTAGCCAATGTCCCCGGGACCCCATTTCACAGCACCGACCCCTCTGCTAGTTGTAGCACCTTGACCATTACCCCAGCCTACAAACACCCCTGCATCCCATCCACCACCCCACAGCATCCTCTCCTTGCTGCTCTGCCCCACCAGCAAAAGACCCCTAGACCCACAGTGACAGGCTGCTGCGAGCACAAAGCAGAGACCAGGCTGCTATGCAAGAAATTTGGTGGGGCTCGCTTGAGAAATGTGTCCCTCCATGGAGCTGCACTCAACTTCACAACAGAGCCACGCAGATGCCACTGCTTGGAGTGGAGAAGGGTCCAGAGCCTGCCCTTGGCAGAGCAGCTGCCCTGCAGCCACCCTGCGGGTGCCCACACTCCCCCTGTGCCCTGCAGCTCTGACCTGCAGACCCTTGTCCTTGTGGTTTGCAGCCCTCGAACTCCAGGGTGAGCTTTTCCCCCCCGAGTCTCACCCCTCCTCAGCCCGGCACCAGACAGCCTCAGGGGC